TCTTAAGCCTTTTCTTTCTTTTTAATATGATTATACATGGAACTGTTTTCTTAATTTCCTTTTTTGATTATTCCTTGTATAGAAAGACAAGTGATTTTTTTTTCAAAGTAACAGGAAATCTTTATTTAAAGCAAAGTATCTATTAGAAAGGAAGACACTATCAGATGAACAGCGGTCCAGTGCACAAAGGTATCCGAGGGCCAAGACAAGTGATTGCGTGTTCACTTAGACCTTGCTAATTTACTGAACTTTTTATTAGTTCTAACAACTTTGTTATTTTAGGGTTTTCTACCTAGAAGATCATATGATCTGCAAACAGCAGTAATTCTTCTTCCTTTCCAACTTGGAAATCCTGAGTGTACCTCATTCGATTGTGTTGGATAGAATTTCCATGTTGTTTTGAAAACGGCGAGGGCAAGCCTCTCAATCTTTGCCTTCATGTTGGAGGAAACGTGTTCACTGTGGGTGTTTCCCTTAGGACTTTAATGTGCTGATACGGCGTCTGTTCCTGGGTCATTGCTTGTTTATATCATTAAGTTATTTAATTTTGTCAGTGTTTTTTTCAGTACACGTCTTTCAATGTGTCTATCACCAATCAATTTTCTTTATTTCCATTTTTATTCTTGTATATGTGTGTGCCTATATGAATGTAGCCACGTAAGTGCAGATACCCTTGGAGGCCAGAAGAGGGCATCAGCTCCTCTGGTGCTGGAGTTATAGGTAGTTGTGAGCTGCCTGAAGTGGGTGCTGGGAACTGGACATGGGTCCTCCATCAGTGTACTACACATTCTTAACCACTGAGCCATCTCTCTGGCCCCAAACTGATCAGTTTTCTGCCTTGAGTTTTCTTTGAGTCCCATGGGTAAAGCTCACTTGGGCATGTTATGCAATTTTTTCTTAATTATTGCTGAATTTGTTTTACTAGTATTTTGTTGGGGATTTTTTTTTTTTTTCTCTTTTTAATCCTTGTTGATGCTAGTCATGAGCTTCAGGGCCCATCTAGATAACATAAAGACATTCATCTTGGCTTCTGCAAACAAGGTCACACCAGCAGGTTCTAGAAAGAGGATGTGGGCACATCTCCTGGGGGACCACTGTTCAACTGTCCTCAATTGGTGGCTACATTGAAGTCCACTTGTGTGCCTTCTTGTACGTTGGTGGGGCCAGTTCGACTACCTCATCCTCCTTACTTGTGGGTGGCCTTATGCTGGAGATTATGTCTGTGACTGGGGTGGCCATGAGGCACCTGGTGGGTTTTGGGTCCATGTGTAGACTCCTGGAGCCTGAAGTAGATAATGGGTTTGTGTAAGGTAATACCTCCAGGTCTGACTCCTGGCCCCATGTCCGCCAGCCTGTTTGCTTCTCACATCGACTGTCCTCCTACCTACTGAATGGCTGTGGCCACTGTCCCACTTACTCTCCATCCAAGACTTTGGACGCTTCCTGACGTGGGCAAGATGGTGACCCAGAAGCAGACTGGGGCAGAGGGAGCCTTGACAGGGATGTAGTCCCCAAGGGAAGCTGAGGAGGTAATCTGTTCAGAGAATAGCCTGAAGCACCTTGGGACATGGTGTGTGTAACCCAAGAAAGTGCTGGCAGGAGGCCGGGGGAGTGGGGGTTCAATGGTAGGGTCTGGCCTAGCATTCAAAAGGCTTTGATTCCATCGCCAGTATTAGAGAAAGAAAATGAAGGCCCCGGAGTGTAGCGGTCATGTGACCACCATCCTGCCAGATGAGTCTATAGCATGACTTTGGGCAGGTGGGCCAGGTTTCTAGTGCTCAGTTTCCCCCTTGGTAAATGGGGACTATGAGGTTAATGGCATTTAGAAGGGTGCACACCTATAATCCCAGCACTTGGGAGGCAGAGGCAAGAGGATCAAAAGTTCAAAGTCATCTTTCACTAGGTAGTTAATTCCAGCCCAAGTTTGGCTACATGAGACCTGTCTCAGGAAACAACAAAACCAACAAAGAAGGTTACTGGAACTCTCTGATTCTGCTGTACCTGCCAGCTGGTGATCAGGTAGGAATGAGAGTTCCTTATCAAGTGCCACCACTGCTTCACATAGTCCTGGCCTTGTCCTGGAGATTGAGAGGAAGTAGCCAAGCTCATATTGGGCAGGGGTTGTTTTTACCAGGTCATTGGCTGAGAGCCTGTCATGGCTCTCAGTGGGCTGTGTTACTGTGGGTGGACACTGCAGAATCCTTCCAGCTCCGAGAGGAGATTTGCTAGTATTTATATGTAGGCTTATTGTTTTGTTAAAAACCCAGTTCCATTCAGACACGTCTCAAATTATTTTCAACAAACTGGAAAAGCTACTTTTTGGCCTAAAATAGGCTTCTAACAAAATTAGCAATCAGCCAATTCAGCCTGCATTTTCTAGAATTCTGCAAAACTGGATATTTCAGACTGGACTGGAGGAGAGAAATTGGCCAGACAGTGGTTGTGACGCAATGTAATCATGTTTCTAAATTTTTTTTATTATTTTTATTTTATGTGTATGCATGTATTGACTGCATGTAGGTTACTGCACCCGTGTTGTGCAATGCCCGTAGAAAGCAGAAGAGGCCGTCGGATCCCCTAGGACTGGAGTTACAGACAGTTGTTAGCTGCCATGTGGGTGCTGGGATTCGAACCTGGGTCTTCTGGAAGAACAACCAATGTTCTTAAGCACTGAGCCACCTCTCCAGCCCCGCATTTGTAAATTTTTATGTTAAGCACATTTTTCTTAGTGAATCCCATTATGAATGTCATGATTCTGTTATTGTGTGACGTTTTTAGTCCTACGGGCCTGCAGCCTCTCCAATGCAGGGCCAGGAACTAAATATTGTGGATTCTGTTGTCTGTCTTAAGTATCAGCGGCCATCACTGTATTGTACCTCAATGAGTGTACCAATAAAACTTTAGAGATTCTGAATTTTCATTTCACGTACTATTATGTGTCTCAAAATATCATTTTATCTTATTCAACCAATTAAAATGTAAGAATTTTTTTTTATTTTTTAAGGGCTAGGATAGAACTCATAGCCTTGTACAAACTAGGGGCAAGCATCCAACTGTTGCTATTAAGATACACTCACAGCGTTTGTTTCTTATGAGACAGGGTCTTACTGTATGGCTCAGGCTGGCCTTTAGCTTGTAATCCTCCTTCAGCTTCCCAAGTGAGGGAATTACAGATCTGCTACCACCACAGCTGGCTCAAGAATCATTCTTGCCAGGCTAGAGTACTAGGAGACTGTGCCTTGCATGCCTTTCTAAGTGCCACATTTATGAGTTTTTCTGAAGTGTTCTATGCACATCTGATCAGCTGCCAAAGGAGGAAGCCTTGCCCTTTGAGAAATGGTTTCCCTTCATTTAATGCTTGACTGAGGGCACTGGAATTTGAACCCATAGCTCAGGCAAACAAACACAGATCTCCGAGTCTATGTTGCTGTGATACAGGTGTGGCACAGCCAGCAACAGGTCAAGGACAGCCAACACTGAGAAGTGGACTTGTCACTTAGAGGTCCCCAGGGTGAGGCCCATGCCGTGCAGGTCCTTGGGAGTCCTCAGGGTTGGTTGGTAGACAGGGAGCAAGAGGCACACATTCTCTTGAGCGCCTTCATGTGGTTTTACGGGAAAGGCTGGGTAAGGCCGAAGAGCAGGCTTAAATTTGACTGAGCTGTTCCTGGCTGCCTAGCACCAGCTATGATGTGTTCCAGTTAGAAACTTGTCTTGAAGTACGAGGGCATGTAGAAGAGGTGATCTGAGTGCGGGTCTGGGTTGTTTGTTTTGCATTTGGAAAATTACTTCAAAGCAAGTTCTGTGCTGCCTCCAAGAATTGGTTCCTGTGAGGGGCATCCCATCCAGGGACAGCAAGTCCCAAAGGCCAACATGTCAGGAAGGCAGAAAACAAGGAAATACAGTCAGTGTTCTTGTAACAGCACAACAGAAGTTTGAACAGGGCACTTGCCTTTGTGTCCTCTGCCCTAAGGCATGTAAATCAGAGCAGGGCACTAACTTTCCCCCACCTCTGCTCCCCAGTACTGGCAAGGTGGGTCACTGGGTTTGTTTCCTGAGTCCACCTGGGGTATGATCCTACCCATAGGAGCATGGTCGTGACATGCTATTCAATGGCCCAGGCTGGTATTTACTTGCCCCTTGACATGTTTACCAGAACTGGAGGAAGCGGGGTGTGGTGGTGCATCCCTGTAATCTCAGTAACTCAGCCGGCAGAAGCTTGAGGATTGTGCAAGTTCAAGGCTATCATAGACTGCATGGTGAGTTCCAAGCCAGCCAGGGCTGTATAATGAAAGAAAGGAAGGGAGGAAGGGGAAGGAAAGGAAAGGTGAGCAATCTGGAGGAAATGCGGGATACCTGGGCGTTTAGGGCACCATGTACCAAGGTGGGAGTGAAGGTCAAGCTGTCCATCGTTGGCTCCTAGTCTGCCTGGGAGACTAGACTGGCTGTCACACACAGTGTGTTAGTGTGTTAGGTCCTATACTAGGTGATGGGCCACCTCCTACTTTGGCCTAGGTGTGTGTGGTGCCAGGCTATCAAGGGATGCTCAGCTCCCTGGGAAGCTGCTTTCTCTGTTTTGGCTTTGGCTATCTCCTACTGACCCCTCTATGTGGTAGATGCAATGACCACATGCAAAGGCCACCTGACCTAGGGTTTGACCGCCAGTGTATGGTCAATAATCCTCATCCCTGGCACAGGACAGCCCCAGGGTGCTTGTGGCCCCTGGATGTTCACAGTCCTTGAGCATTTGCATGGAGCCCATCCTGAATGCAGTTCATGGGCCACTTGCTGTGCCTGTAGTTGCTGTGCTCTGAATCCCAGCCTGGGATTGATGGAGGGGACCCCGACCCCACCCCCCACCCCCGTGTGTCTCAACCGTGACATTTTAAAAGACTGAGTGTGAGCTCTCCCTGGCTGGGCCTTGGGTGGCCCTTGTCCTGTCCAGCACTTGCTCAGTGCAGAGGCTTGTTTTCGTGTGACGTCAGCTCCTCCGTATCCATGCCGTGTTTTAGTTTGTGCCTCAGCTGCCGGCTGTAGCTTCCCAGGGGAGCCGGGTACCACCCGGGCTTGGAGACATGAGGAGGCAGGGATGTGAGAGGCAGGGAGCCGGACAGCCAGCCTTCCATTAGATGTCTGCTTCTCCGGAGGTAGCCTGCCCTGTGTGTTCTGGGTCTGGAGGCCCACCCTGCCTATTGTCGGGCCTCCCGGGGACGCAGCATCGGCTCCTTAAAGGGACAGAAGATGCCTCCTTGCACGCCCACCTCCGGTAGAGCATAAAGAATTCTGTGCTGAGGAGGCAGCAGAAGAAAGCGGGTGAGTAATGCGCATCTCTCCGTGGATTTTCCGCCAGGCCCAAGGTGGTGGCGTTGCAGGCCGTGGGCTCAGGCTGCGGAGCTGCGAGTCAGCATTTCGGGTTCCATCCTGGCTCTGCCAAGCCTCCGTGCTGCACAGATGTTCCGGTGCTGACTGCCGGGCAGGGACGCTGCAGCGGCACCAGGCAGCAGTGCTGGGGAAGGCTCGCCGAGAGGCTGTTGTTCCCCCTGCTGACAGATTTTCAGAAAAATAAGCCGTTGCAGAGCATGCCGAGCCAGCGATGCGGCTGATGGGCGTGAGGGAAGGAGATGTGCACGGATGGTATGTGCCCGAGGCCTGGGGTGGGCATCCGCTGCAGAGGCTGGGAGGCTCTAGGCTCAGGGAAGCCTCGTTTCCTCCCCAGCCTGGCCCTGGGGAGGCTGTCGGGAGCAGCGCTGTGGTTGGGCTGTCACCGTCGTGGTCTGTGTCGTTGCTTTCTTCTCGCTCTGCACCGCTGCAAGTGGAGGGGTCGATGAGACCACAATGGTGAGGTCTGGGTGCCCGCACCTGTTCCCATAAACAAGTGCTTCCCTGGTTTGTGGTCGTTCTGAGCCTGCCCTGCCTTCCTGAGCTCTGGCTTTGCACCGGTGACAGCCTCTCGTTGGAACCTGGGTGGCACGAAAGGCACCAACGTTCACAGCTCGGCCAGCGTCCTCCGATGTCGGCAGGGAGTGTGGCCCTGGTACCCGGTTTTCCATTCTGAGATGGTTGGAGGTAGACTTGGATGGGTCTAAGGGCTGCATGGGATGTGGGGTGGCATAGGAATGGGGGTGCTTTTTTGACGTCCATTTTGCAAGGTTTTTAAAAATATATACAAAAAAAAAAAAACCCAAAACAACAACCAGCTTCCCCTGCCAAGTTAGCAGGAACCTTGGGGCCCGGACAACCAGGTTGGTGGAAGGTGGCTCTCCCTCATTTGGAGGGTGCAGGTGCTGGCAGAGCACCCCCCCCCCCAGGGGGAGTATTGAGCACCCCTCCCCCAGGCACAGGCTGCTCCATGCATCAGAATAGGTCTCAAGGGTGACTCGTTTGTTTTGGGTCCTTGAATTTTAAAATACAGGGTTTGGATGGGTGGGAGGGAGAGATGTTGGGGGTGTTTGCCCCATCCAGTACCTGCCAGCAAGGAGAAACGAGCTGTGTCATAGTTTTTCTGGGATGTCTAGGTGCCATGGCCTCTTCCTTTCCTGAGACTGCTCTCCTGCAGTGTGTGGCCGAACCTTTAGCATGTGGACGTGTGGCTGGGGTCTCCAGAGCTGGTTGGGGCTTCAGATTTTCCTGGTAGCTTCTGACCATGTGGTCCTTGGTAGTTTCACAGAGCCACAATCTGGGGATAACTTCAAGAAGCCAAGGGTCCCTCCCCCCAAAGCCAGCCCTGTGGATACTGACAGAGCACAGAATGGACCATGCTATGTGTCACCTGTTTTTGTGTCTTGGCCAAGTTTGTATAGAGACCACTTTCCTGTCTCAACTGCATCAGCTTCCAGTGGGCTCCTTCCACTGCATCTTTGTAAAGTTCAGAGGCACCAGCAATTATGTAAGGAGTTGGGTACTGTGTGCTGTTTAGCTGTGAATTCCATCTCGCCTCCTAGACTTTGCCTCTGAGCCCCCAGGCTACTGCCTTGCAGTACTTGCTGGACTGCCTGTTAATCCATCAAATCGCACAGTTAGGACTGTGCTTGGAGCCCCTGGAGTCCCATCAGCCCAGGCCTGGAGTTGCTGGTAGCTCCAAACCTCCTACTGGGATTATTGGGACTGTGAAGCTTGGCTGTGGGGCCAGCAAATATTCTTGGAAGTTTCGCCCATCACATCATCTGATTTCTTATGTGTCTGTAGAGTGTTCTGTTCACCACAGATGAACTGAGGTCCGATCATCAGGAGGACTGTCAGGGGACTGGGCTGCAAACTTCTGGGAGTCTCAACACTGGTGGTGGTTGTTTCCTTTACTGACTTGGATCTGTTTCAAGGATGTACTGATCAGCAGGGACCATCTTGAATGAAGGAACACTTCTAAATGGGCTGTTTGTAGAGGCCAGGGCCAGTATGGTGCTATCTTTGGTAAGGTTTGGTGATATCTGAAGAACCCAGACTATTCCCTTTATTAAAAATTGTTTTGAGTTATTTTTATTTTATGTGTATGAATGTTTTGCTTGCATGTATATAAGTGAACCATGTGCATGCAGTGCCTGTGGAGGCCAGAAGAGGGTGGCAGATCCCCCTGGAACTGGAGTTATAGACAGTTGATAGCTACCATGTGGGTGCTGGGAACTGAACCTGGGTTCTCTGCAGGAGCAGCCAGCCCTCTTAACGACTGAGCCACCTCTCCAGTCTGACTGTTCCCTGTCTCAGCTTGTCCCTTGGTGCTTTTGGGCATCAGTGCGTCTGACCTCATCTCATTCACTAACTCCCTTTCACTGCCTCGTGCCACAGGGTGTTTGCTCATGCTGTGTCCTCCCCTCCTAGCACAATATGGTACTGGAGCCACAGTTCCCACCCTTACCTCATAGGATGGCCAGGCACCCCAAGGTGTCCAGCTCCCAGCTAAGGGACCAGGCAGGGAACAGGTTCAGTGTATGTTGCTTTATGAAAGGGCAGAAAAGCCTGGTCCAAAATAGGCCATATCCGCCTATTATTTTTCCAATTCAGCTTTTGGTAATGAAATTACAACCGTTTCCATTCATCCAGGAGACAGCTTGGTAACCCCCCTGCCCCAGAGTATTTGGACATGGTGGTTTATTTTTAAGACTGCCCTAAATATCCTATATGTAGAGTAGGGCACCTCATTACGGCAGGCTGCTTTTCCTGTTTCTGTCTCTGAGGCCTCTGTGCAGAATCAGCCAGATTCTGTCCCTCTCCAGGTGGCCACAGGGAACCAGGTGTCGGTAAACAGAGGGTCTTAAGGGTGCTGGACCCCAGTAAGCCAGGAGGCCGCCTCAGCTTCTGTGTGATCCTTTATTAGATACACAGGGGTTTTCACAGGGTGGGGGTTTGAATGTGTCTGATCTTTGTGCTTGCATGTATGCGTGTGTGTGTGTGTGTGTGTGTGTGTGTGTGTGTGTGTGTGTGCATGGATGGGTGGATATGTGGACCGGTGGATGGGTAGGTGAGGGGGTTGGGTGATGTGGAGACCAGGGGCTGACCTCAGGTGTTCCTCTCTAACACTCTCCACCTTACTTTTTGAGGGAGGGTCTCACTGAAACTGAAACTCACCAATTCAGATAGGCCAGCAGACCAGGGATCTGCCTGTCTCTGCTGCCCCAGCACTAGAATTGTTACCTGACTATTTATGTGGGTGCTAGGGGTCCAAATTCAGGTCTTCATGCTTTTGTTACTGAATCATCTCCCCAGCCTCATGCCCAGGTTTTTTTGTATTTTCTTTTTTCTTTTTAAAGTTTGGCTTTTAAATGTCTCTTTTGGTGGAGATTTAGAAAAATATGATTTCCATCAAGATGGAGCCACGCTATGTTGGCATCAAGCAGTGAAGGACCTGGATGGGGTGCAGGCTACCAGTGTCCATCCTGGTTGCCCTGGTCATGGACTCTGAATTTGCTCTGATGTTGAATGGGAAAGCTGCAGGAACCAAATGAGGTCATACTGAACCCAGGAAGACAGCCTGTGTTTCATCCTGGTCAGGAAGCTGTCACCAAATGCTCATGTATAAACTTGGCATTGTATATTATTATTAATTTTTTAAAATTTTATGTGTATGAGTGTATTGCCTGCATGTATGTGAGTGTACCCGTGTTGTGCAATGCTGCAGAGGTCAGAAGAGGGCTTCAGATTCCCCTGGAACTGGAGTTAAGGATGGTTGAGAGCCACCATGTGGGTGCTGGGAATCAAACCCAGGTCCTCTGCAAGAGCAGTCAGTGCTCTTAACCGCTGAGCCGTCTCTCCAGCCCCTGTATATTATTTTTATAACTTATTTTTTGTTGTTTTTGTTTTTTGTTTTTAGACAGGGTCTCACTGTCTAGACCTGGCTAGACTGGAACTTGCTATGATAGACCAGGCTGGTCTCGAACTCACAGAGATCTGCCTGCCTCTGACTAGCAAGTGCTAGAGTTAAAAGTGTGCACCACACTCCTCTGCTTCCTCTTCTTCAAGGGTCACGGAGCTGATATGGTTTGAGACACCCTCCAGAGACCTGGGAAAGGGGATGTGGGTGGCAGAGTTTTATATTCTAAAAAGTACACTTGTTCTAGCTGCGCCTGTGGTGATCATTCAGCTGAATGCTGCCTTGGCTTCTGGCTTCTAGTATGATTCAGAAGTTCGGCATTCTGATACAATATGTATGTGCGTGTGTGTGTGTGTGCATGTGTATGTGTGTGCATGTGTGTACGTGTGTGCATATATACGTGTATGTATGTGTGTGTGCGTATGTGTGAATGTGTGTGTGTGCATGTGTATGTGTGTGCATGTGTGTACGTGTGTGCATATATACATGTATGTATGTATGTGCGTATGTGTAAATGTATATGTGTGTGCATGTGTATGTGTGTGTATGTATATATGTGTATATGTGTACGTGGGTGTGTTCTTCAAAGTTTTTAGTATGTTTTTATTTGTGCTCATGTTCTCAAGTTTCCTGGTGACGTCCCTTGTGTGGAGCTTTTAGGTCTCTTGTGTTAGGAACTTTAAGAGTTGACACATGGGGCATTTAGGTGTGGGGAACTTCATATGGGTTTTCTTGCATGACTGATCCCCTCCGTTGTCCTTTTTAGAGCTCCCACCGGCCGCTGGTTGGGCTCTTGGACTGGTCCTTAGTTTTTCTTATTTCCTAACTGTTTTCCAGAAGACAGCATCAGGTCTTCTCCAAGCCATCCCTTAAATGCCATCCCATCCTCTCTCTCTCTCTCTCTGTCTCTTGTCTCTCTCTCTCTCTCTCTCTCTCTCTCTCTCTCTCTCTCTCTCTCTCTCTCTCTCTCTCTCATCAGGAGCCAGCTGACCTTGTTAGTCTTCTTATATAA